TGTAGAGATATCCTTCATTTCAGGCGATTGTATGTCGCAGTAAGGAAGGTGGGTTTTCTCACATAGAGCTCACGGTGAATCACAACCCAACCATGTATGAGGAGAGAATGCGCATACAAAAGGCGGGTGGTACAGTCAGGTACGAACCTTTCAAAGTACTCTGTACCGTTTTGCAATCCCTCTTCTACTTTTCAGAGATGGACGTGTCAATGTAATAATTGAAGTGACTTGTGTACCCGATATGAAGAAACTTACCATCACAGAGAGAGACAGGTACCTTCAATCCTCGATGAAGTTATACGTCATTTTTTTGCGCATTCTATTGATTGAAAGTGAGTTTTCATGAAATACTGCTGATCGTACTGCTTTCGTTTTTTCGCAAACGATGGCTTACTAAGCAATATTAGTGAGAAGAGAATGGTTAATTGTTGAGAGATGAAGCTGTGAAGTTTCACACGGTTTTTGGAAGTACTAACTAGTGAAGTTTTTTCTCAGTGGTCTGAAAGCGTCTCGTTCTCTCTTGAAGTGGTCCCTCCACAGTTATTCTTCAGTAGCATCTGTACATGCAAATAATAGTCTTGAATCTTTGCCCCACTTCATAATGATTCATTTGATTCGACGCACAATATCAGTCGTATGCACGTGGCGCAAACATTCTGCCGATGTTCTGCAATATTTTTGTGACTGTATGCCTTTCGTTGATGTGTGGTCTCAGGAGCTCACGAAACCCTGATGTGGGTCGCTAAGAGAGCAAGCCACTTTTTTACTCTTCGCATCGCGAAACCTTTCCCTTTAAGAACCTTAGGTCCGCCCCTGATACAAGCACCGAAAACTGTGACTTTTGATACAAAAGTGCAAAATCACTTCAAACGATTCCGCATGGCATCGACGAAAATCGCCGGTCTTATTTCGTAATTTCGCTACTGTGTTGGGCCGCCTACAGGATAGATAAATTAAGATCAGTTGATAAACTGTATTCGGAAGGAACCGACGAGCTCATTTTCTTTGTAGCTTATTGTAGTGCTATGTCTTGCACTCTGTATGACATGAACTAAAAATGACAAATCTTTCATGACAACCAACCAAATCTACTACGATGACATGTGCTGTTCTCTACCGCTACTCTAGCTTGCGGAAAGGACTTTTAGGCTTCCTCTCATGACTAGGCTGGCCGTATCTTTATATTCGAATGTTGAAGTCATCGCTGTTGTATGCTATACCTCTTGAACAATCGGTATGTTCCTTTGGAACGTTACTTCCCTAATGTTGCCCTTGAATTTCTCTCTGCTATTGGCGCGCTTCATCTTAGCTTTGATGGTTTTTATTGGTTCGGTATGTATCCGATTTCACTAGCTGTTTAGGCAACTGAATTAGGGCGGATCGCGTCTCATTACTACTGCACGTATGAGTCTATGCAAACGTATAACCAACTTTTGAAACCAACAGCAACGGAAATTGACTTGTTCCGCATTTTTTCATTAACCAGTGAATTCAAAAATATCATAGTGAGTCATCAGTCTTGCTTCAAGCTTTACTTCCTTAGCGGTAAGCATCTCCTGGACAGTACAACAGCTAATTTAGTGGTAAGGTTCGAGAGGAGTTTGAGCTGCAAGTTGGCTGAACATGTTCCCATTCCCATCAAAGAAAGCCTGGATGAGAGTAGTGCTAAAACCAATGTTCTTCTTCAGGTAATCTTTTGGCAATTTTTCTGTCTTCTCTGTCTCCGACACACTTCTCGTTTCCACCAAAAATACACTACTTTCAGGCCTATCTTTCGTATGAGACTAGATGGTTTTTCTTTGCAATCAGACATGGTGTTCATCGGACGTTGTACGAAATAGTTGTATGGCGAGGACGGCCGCTTTGGCGCTGGTTCGTGAAGCATTTTTGCGATTCTGTCACTTTCTTCATTTTGGTCGTCTCGCACGTGTGCGCTTCAGCAAGTGTTGAGTTTGTGCAAGATGGTCACTGCACGTCAACGGCAATCTCTCAATCCTATTCATCAATTCAAGAAAATTCCTTACAGAAGTGCGTGTGTAGTTCTTTTTTCTGCTTTTTTTCTTGAGAAAGACTAATATGCATGTTATGTTCGCAATATGTTCGCTTTACACTGCAAAAACATTGTTTCAGATTCAGATTGTGCGCAGTGTTAACAAGAGGAGTGACTAGACTGACTGACTTGAGCGTCTGTATGATCGCTAGTGTGTTCCGGAGCAACACAAAACAGCCAACAAAAACAAACTCGATGTCGCCGCAGGAATTTCACTCATATTTGTTTGTGACGTGTTACTATTGAGCTTGATTTCTTCTTACCTTGTGAACTACTGGTTACAAGAAAATAAAGGTTCTTCACATTTATGGATCTTCGAGCTCAACCTTTATTGAAGTGTCCTTCACGTCTTTCTGCATGAAAAGTAGACTTCTATCTAACGTTTTGTACGATGTTTATCTATGAATAAAGAATTGTTTGGGTAACAGAGGAAAACGCGATTACAAAATACCAACTAAAAAATTGCACAGTGGAGAAAGTAACAACTTATATGTAACGGAACAGGATCATTTGAAGTAGGATTTGTGTGTAAGGAGCGCGAACTCGCGGTCCTGCAAACTTCTTGGTTTCAGTGCGGCGAGAGTAATCAACAAGAAGTGACAACCGTATGCGACAAATTGACCATTTAGTTCCTTCTTACTCTGCTCGTCAGCATACTTATGATCGTACGCAACCTTGAAAGAAAAGATTACAATGTTCAAAAAACAAATGGACATCACAATAAAGGGGGCAGTTACCAAGAGCTCACAGAAAAATCTCACCAGAGCTTTGGCGGGAACATCTCATACTCTCATAAATCTGTACTGCATCACCTCCACTGCTTACATAAATTCCATCGTCAAGCGCTCCTTACCCCCCACGATGAGTGTTTCTGCAAACAAAAACTGACATAAGACGACGCGTTCGACATGTCAACCACCCTCAAAAAAAAGGCAATTTCACAGAGCAAAAGCAATACAGACAGCGATGATAACCACACATACCTATCATTGATCCAGCTGTTTCTGGGTTGGATTGGTTCCAAGTGCCGTTGCAGAATACGCACTCACCATCACTGATTTGACTCCATCTGAAAATAGCTCTTGAAAAAGAACCTACATCAAATAACACTTGTAGGCATACAATCGAAATATGCATTTTTCGCAAAATTCTATAACTGAATAAGAGCTACAAAAAATAACCACAATACAGACAGCGATGATAACCACATAGAACGTGGAACTAAACACACAATCGAGCGCGATGCCACTCAATCATGCAAGAGTCAAAAGGAAAACACAAAAAAGAGCAAACGAAGAGTAAGAAAGAGCAGGAAATTAGGAAGGAAGGCAGTAATCAGCTGAGTTTTTTGCCATCATCGATTGGTGACCTGGATTTAGCATTGCTGGCCTGGTGCCAGCACTGGCGCACAACTCGTCCGAAAAAGTCACACCCCCAGCCGTGGCTTGAAATCAACTGAAGAAGATGGGGGTTCCATTTTGGGATTAGTTCGCGGTTTTCCATGCTTCCTTTTTCTACATTGAACCAACTACCACCCACTACTTCGTATATGAACTGGGAAGTCATGAGTGTAATCCTGAATTTTGCCTTTAAGTGTATTTCAAGGAGTGAACTACAATCCAATTATAAAAAGATAGCTCCTCGCCACTTGTCAACACAATTCTTGCAAGCTTGCTGACGACTAGACCAGACTCATCCTGTATATTGTCTGGGATATGCAAGAGGGTGGGAAAGCAATTGAAGTTCTTAGGCAGTGATTAATTAAGGAAAGAATCATAGGTAGGTGACTAATTAAGGTGAGAGTAACGAGCTCCGCTGATCTCTTCTTTTGCTCCCCTTTCTGCCAGGTTCTGTCAGCCGTCTGGCTACATAAAGCAGGGTGAATAACGGTCGAGGAAATCCTCGACAGGGGGTCGTATTTGCTCCGATGAGAGTTGGGAGGGGGTCGTAATCAAAAGGTTCATCAACGGACACAACGGTGCTGCTGCCACTTATTTGCTGTCATCATTAGTTTCACAAGTGTTGTACTTAGCCTAATGCAAATAACATCTTACAAGTGGTTGTTGGTTTGGTTCGTAGTGATCAGTATGGCATAGGAAGGCAACGCGTCCTGCAAAAGAATCGTAGGGAAAGGGCAGCGAGTATCTACTCTAGAATGATGCACATGCTTCGAGAACTTAGTGGAGGAACAGCATCTTGGTAGAAAGTTCAAAACAGGCAGATTCGCAGCCTTCTTGGCATTATCAGATCCTGCCACCGCAAGCTGTCATTCATCAGAACGGGTTGGAAAGGAAGCGATTTGAATAAAGGAGTGATCAGACATCACTATGACCACAAAAGTTATCCTAATTAGTTAATACTGGAAATATCTTTTGGTGTGCTTAAGCAAGTCGTCACTAGGACAAAACACCTTCCCAATGACTCCGAGTGGGGTCACTGCATGGCGCATACAAGAACGGAATGGATCCGCGCCAAGTGCATCATTTTCAATTTACTCCATCGAACTGACGCGTACAGAAGTATTTTGAAGGTGTTCAAAGAAGTTCCCTACTACGGCAAGGGAGTAATAGAGTTTTCGAAAATTTCCTTGACATTTCCTCGACGCAGATTTCTCGCGAAACTAGAAAGCGATCGAAACAACTGGAGCACCTATCAGAAAGCGTAAATCTTCTACTTTACAACGCTTTTCCTCCGATTTTCAAAGCATTGCCAACGAAGACAGCTACTGCCTTTCAAAGAGTGGGAACTCGCATGTGAATTTCAATTTCCTCGACAATTTCTCGACGTTTTCCACTCTCGAGAATAGGCGTGCTTAGAAAAACGCTCAGCACAACTTCGAAACTCAAAAGTCTCGTGCATTCAAGAGC